CTAACAGAAGCTCCAGGGTCCTCCAAGGCCTCGTGGCCTCTGGAATTTCTGCATCACAGAAGCTGTCAGCTCCCCAGGCGTGGGTGGCCGAGCAAGCTCCTCCTATTACTCACCTCCCACTTCTCACTATTAAGCAGGGCTCCTTGAGGAAGATTGATTTACCCCATTAAACGAGCCCCCGTGTGCTCAATGAGAATGTCACAAGACAAACGGCTCCTGCCGCGTGCCTCCAGCCCCCCACCCCCTGTTTCCATTACACTGGGGCCAGAGTCATGGTGGATGAGTTTGGGTGTAGTTCATTTTCTGCCTTACACGATAAACTTGTCAGCCTTTGACCGATCAGCTACTCGTATGCAGGGAGTTCATTTGCAAGGCCACCTGGCATCTCGGCTCGGCTGTCCTGCTCCCATTTCACCCTGTCTAATGAGCCAGGACCTGGGTATTGTTGGTTGGCGCTGAGCTCTGGGGCCCTGCACGACCTGCCCGTGATGGCGATGGCTCGGTCCCTCCCCAGGGGTCCCTCGCTCCTGCCTGGAGGTGGCTGGGCACTGAGGCCTGGGGAGCCATCCTTGTTTGCTGTCAGCTTCGTGTTGTCCATCTGGGAAGGAGTGTGCCAAGCCTCCTCTCTCCTGCCCCGAGGATGTGTTAGGCCTACTCCCCAGCATCCTGGCTAGACAGGCCTGTCCACTCCACATTGGCCTTGGGGCTGTTTCTAAGGAAATTTTGGTATAGGCAGATGCCCAGCCTGGGCTTTCAGAGCTCACTGAGACATGGCCAACAGGGCCTAGATGAGTAGCTCTGGGGCTACCCATGGTCCCTTAACTGGCCTCCAGGCCAATACCCTCCCCAGGCTGCTAGGCAGCCTAGACTCTGCTCTGACCCCATCAACCCCTGTCCAAGATCCTTTGGTGGTTCTTTGTTGCTAGATGAAGGCCATTCACAGCCCTTGATGATCTGTTCCCAACCTGGGCACTGGGGTTGCATGCTGGGGATCAAGTCTAGCTCCCTCAGATTACTGGATGACCTTAAGCAAGACATTTAGCTTCTCTGTGAACGGGGATGATAAAAATGCCTATCTCATGTTCATTAGTATGAGGACTTAGGTTTATGCCTGGCACATAGTAGGTACTCAACATATGTTCACTAATAGCATCACTTCACTGCGTTCTTCAGCCTCACCTAAATCCTGCATGCTTTCACCTACAATCTGGGGGTGAACTGCAGCCTGGGGTGGCCTGCTCACCCACACTTTCCACCCACAAACCTGGGTGTCTGCACCCTAGCCCTCAGAACATTTTCCAGCACTGTTATCTCCCTCCTGACAGGCTTCCCCCTTCCTCTCTGCCTATTTGAATCTGACCACAGTCTGGCCAAGGCCTTCCCATGCTCTGAAGTCACCAGCCAGCCTGGAATCCCAAATGAACCCCCCAGAACAGCACCCAGGGCAGGACCACTCCCCAGAGCCATAGGTGGGGACTTCTATAGAGCAGACAGGGGCAGGACTGGGAGCCTTGCAAAGGGTAAGGAATCCCTTTCCTATCTCCATCCCCTCCCAATCTCTCACCATTCCCCTATCCCATAAGGGTCCATACCCCAAAGGTGGTGGTTTTCTGATCCTCAAGCCAGCTGGGCTCCTCCAGGTTCCTTCTCTGAGCCGCATACACAGATCTCTGCCTCACCTGTCCATGTACTCTCGAGTCCACTGCCAGCCATGGACACTTTCCTATGCCCACCTCCACTGGAAACACAGCCTCCACCCTCTGCAAGCTCACAGACATGGGGAAGGAGACTATGTCAGGGCTTCTGGGGTGGACTGGCACTGACTGCTTGAAGCATGGGGAAGTCTGCAGTCAGTAGCTGTGTGGTAGGGCATGTGCAATGTCGTAGGAGACAACAGGTGTAGAGGGGATGGGTCCAGCCCTGGACCCAGGTACTGTACGAGGCCAGCATAGTGAACAGAACAGAGATGCTTTGTCTGCACCGAGAAGCAGCCGCCATCCTCTGGGTGTGAGAAGTTCTGGAGGGCAGGCGCTCTGTCTGGGCTGTTGCCACCCATGCCAGGCCTAGGTCCAGCCCCATTAAAAGGATCAGAGAGCTTGGGAGAGGTTTATGAGTGAAACTCTGATAAGCAGAGTAGGAGAAGGGCCCCTATCCAGGAGACACCCTATGCTCTGGTGAAGAGAAGGATGAGCCCAGATGTCCAGAGAGTGGCAGGAAGCCTGAAGCCCACGCAGGGATTCAGGGGATGTGACCCTTGAGGGGCAGCATGGTAAGCCACGGAGCCCAAAGAGCCATGTTTAAACTCAACCTCATAGAAGTCATTTCAGGTTGAAGATGGTAACACAGTGACTGCCCCACCCTTCAGGGGCAGAGGGAAGGGGAATTTCCCCAGAGCTTCAACTGGGTTACCTTTACCTCTAGATCCTCAGGGCATGACCGAAAGTCTTGAAGATGATCAGATTCCAGGAAAGCCCAAGAAGCCATGCAAAAGATAAGGAGTCATCCTGGCCCCTTCGGGATCAAGAGGGGTCCTGAAAGCATGGTACTCTCCAAACCCTCATTCTACACAGGAAGTGGGGAAAAGATGACCCAAGGATGGGCTGGCTTGCTGGTCATTCTGCTTCTCAGACTGGAAGACTTGCTGTGAGAGGGATTTGCAAGAAGTGGGAGGAAGGGGATGGGTGGAGACTGGAGACTGTCTTCCGTGATGTTGTATACAGACGCCTCTCATGAGCTAGAGAAATCACGTGGGCAGAGCAGTGATCGTCACAGGTGACCTTAGCATCGTGCCTACCTCATGTTGAGGAGGCCCAGGGGAGAGTTTTGGTGACTACTCCACTCAAGGCTGATTGCACTGGAAGAGGGAAGTTACCACATGTCCCAGGGAGGGTCAGGGTGAGGCCAAGAGCAGAGGAAGGAACCCAGGGAGGAACAGACAGGACCCCTGGGTCCCTAGCTGGACAAAGGGAAGGACAGGCTCCCACTGGCAACATCAGACTGTGTATGGACTCAGCCTCCCACTGACTAGGGAAGGTCCCATTGTGCCTGGCTCCAACCCACAGGCAGGACCTGGCTGGTGAACGGAGACCACACTGGCTCCCACACATTCCCTGGACTTCAGGAAAGCAGATTTCGGGTGGCTATGAGAGGTGATGGGCATAATTTTTGGTTTGAGGCTCCAGAAGAAGAGAAGCCTCCAGAACCAGGGGCTCTGACTCAGCAGTAAGTGGGATCCCAGTGGTGAGGGAAAGGGCAGGAGCAGAGAGGTATGTGTGCCTGGGCTTGGACTGACTACAGGAAATAGAAGGGCCAGCACTCAGGATCAGAACCTGCCCCACTGCCTGTCTTGATGGGGCAAAAAGGAACAGGGACTGTCATCTTGTGCGGGGGCTCCTTAGCCCGCAGAATGTTTCTCTCTGACAAACACCTCCTGGACAGGGACCTTGGATTTCAATACCTACAGGGACCAAGGGGGTTGAATGAATGAGATGACTATGGTAAAACAAGGGTGCAGTTTTTCAGCTCCAGCTGATTCTTGCAGTGTGAGAATGTGAACCCAAACTCCCTAGATGGTATAAGTTAAGATTAGATTTGGCCTCATATGACAGAAAACCCAAAATAATAGTGGTTTAAAGAAAACAGAGGTCTCTCTTTCTCTCTTGTATACCAGAAGTAAGCCATCAGAGCTGATACTTAGTGGCTAGGATTCTTCTATCACTGCAAGGGTGTGGCACACAACCATATGATCCAAAAAGGAGGCTAGAGGTCCAGCCATCACACCAGTGCTCCAAGCAGTAGATAGAGGAAGGTGGGAAGAGGGGCAAAGAGCACATGCTGGTTACCTTTAAAGAAGTCTCTTGGAAGCTGTCATATAGGGTTTCTAAATTTTATTGGCAGAATTAAATATGTGTTCTCCTCTAACTGTAAGTGAGGCTGGGCAATGCACCTTTAGTTCTGGCCCTCCATGTGCCAAGCTAAAACCAGGCACTCTGTGACTAAAGGGAGAATGGATATTGCCCTACACAGCTAGCAGCCTCTGCCCCACAGTGTCCCCTTGCCTCCAAATACTTTGCACCCCATCTTCCATGCATAGAATACTCTGGGGCTTGGGGAGAGAGGTAACCCTGCCCCTCATCCTGTTACAGCTTTCCAGCCCAAAAGTCTGGATAGAGGATGTGGTGGAAATGGCAGGGGGAGGGGGGCTGCCCGGGGAGAGCCCATCCAGCTGACCCAGCTTTTTTTGGGGAAGAACCTTATGCCCAATGTCCCCCACGGAGCAATCAAGCTGCCTTGGTGACACGTCTCCTGCACAACTCAGTGGCTTCTAGCCTATTTGTCCTGACGAGTTCCACGTGCCTGAATTGGCCTCAGTGGGCTCACCGGGGTATGGCTTTGGGGCAGGCTGCCTGGCCTTCTATCTGCGCTCTTCATTGAAATAACCGCTGAGGCAGGGAGGGGCAGGGACAGCAACACCTTGACTCCCTGAAGCTTTTCATGTGAAATTGACAGATTTTTAATTTTCAACAACCAATGTTTGAGAATTTTAGTTTGAAACAAATAAACAGACCTATGGGCCAGATGTGGCTCTCAAGCACCACAGTGTGGGAGCAGGGTACTGTTCGATGGAGGAATTGGGGCTCCTCCCCTGGCAAGGCCGGTCTGAGGGTCTAATGTCCACGGAGAAGGCCCTGCATGAACCCCCTTCATCCTGGTGGGCAGTTCCAATGACCACCCGTCTGGGGGCAGATCTGGCCACAGCTGGAGAGTTGGTGGGACTCCTGCAGACCCCCTGAGTGGGAGCTGGCTGCTGGGGTTAGCACAGGAGCTCAGGAGAGTCTAGCTGACTGTCACGGCCCACCCATTGGAGTTGGGCGAGAAGTCAGGACTGGCTCAAGGGCTGGGTGTCCATGTGTGTCTGCCTGTGGCGCGTGGGGCTCCGCAGAGGGGACCTCAGACCTGGGGGAGGATAGGGATTAAGGCCTTGTTTGCCCGGCCTGCAGACTCCACCAACCGGGACGCACTGGATATGATTGAACGCTGCATCTGTCTCGTGTGCCTGGATGCCCCAGCGGGCGTGGAGCTCAGCGACACCAACAGGGCTCTTCAGCTCCTTCATGGCGGAGGCTGCAGCAAGAACGGGGCGAACCGCTGGTATGACAAATCCCTGCAGGTGAGCCTCCCCAGCTGCAAGGCCAGGGCTGAGTCAGCAGAAGCGCACGCCTGCCAGGCTCATGCGCTGGCCTGTGCTGCCCAGGATGCCGCGTCTGGAGCCGGGGGAGCCGAAGGCACTGGAAATGTGCCACTGGTGTCAGTCCCTGGGACTGGCCACAACCCTTCCCGAGAGCCAGGGACCAAACCCAACTCTAACTCCCAACCTTCCTGCAGCCTGGGCCAGGTGTGCGGGACCTCGGGGTCAGACCTGGAGCTCACTCCCACTCTCCAAGCACACACTGTAAGGTGGGGTGTCCCGGGGGCCCCCTGAACATATCCTCAATGCATCCAGCAAGAATCATGGCTGATGCCCGGAAGTGCCAGTTTTTCTGAATCTCCATCACTCTTGTCTGACTGTTTCGACATACCTCCCTCCAACTCTGAGAAGTAGGACAGCCCAGCATCTCCAGAGAAGAAAAGCCATAAAATGAAATAATGCAATTCCTATGTTTTTCATTCACGTGACATCAACCCAGAAAAAAGATGCTCACTTTAGCCTGGAGAGAAATACTCATGCAGGTGCAGATGAAGTTCGAGTTTGGGCCCATTCATTCCTGTTTCTCCAGGCTTTTTTCTCCAGTGTGTCAATCCTGAATCGATCCTTGTCTGTTTTTAAAGCCCCCCACCCCACTTTCACAATGACCATATTAAATAGCCAGCGATCGCTATACTTTGGGCTAACATCGGCTCCCACAGATAAGCATTGCTGGGCAACATTTCATTTTTCTCTTTCTCTGGCCTCTCCGTTCTGCAGGTTATCCTTTTTATTGGTTTGCATATTGATTCTGCTGTTTCTGATGAGTTCACTTGCTGCTGCGCTGGCCGTTTTAGCCTCCACCAGTGGTGCTAATGGCTTGTAATCTTTCATGGAGCAGCTGTGGGAATGTAATGATATAATGAATGTAGGGGACCAGAAACATAGGAAGCCTCAGTAGTGGTTTTAAAAAGGCACTGTTTTCCTCCCTTTTGTTTTAGTGGCAAGGACAGAAAAGCATTAATGCACGAGTGGGCACAGTCTTCTCCTCCTGCCCCACAGGGGTGATTGTGCCCACCGCTGGGCGCTTTTCATGGGCAGGACAGATGATCAGATGACCTGGAGAAGCCAAACAGGCTCCAGGGACCTGAGCTGAACGATCAAGAGCTAGAAGGAAGCAGGGGACAGAGAAGCAGGGGACACTGGGGAGAAAAGAAAAGACTGCAAGGGATAAGTTTTGAGAAAGACTCTGTGGGGAGGTTGTTGGAAGAATGGGAGTAGAGATTTGGACCACTGGCTCTAGGTGAGGGCTGGGGGAAGACAGGAGGAGAGTCAGCTCACATGTGTTATAGTGCCCCAGAAGGGCATCAGAAAACTGTCAATAGCTTGTTTGTTTGCTTGCTTGTGGATGGCGGACCAGATGGGATGCTATGCTGAGCCAGGCTATGGGCAGCCCCACCTCATCTGGGTTACATGTCAACAATCAAATCTCATTCTTCTCATTCTTTTTTCCCAGCACCTCTGTACATGCCGAGCATGTCCTTTTTCCACGCCAGCTAAGTACAGCCTCAGCAAACTCCTTACAGTCCCTGGGGACCTTTCCTAAACTTTCTCTCTGATCCTCCTAGCCATCCTGTGAACCGGGCTTTATTGGATCCATTTTCAATGGTAGCAAACTGAAGCCAGGAGCTGAAATGTCCTGTCGAAGGTCTCCTAACTGGCAGGTGGCCATGGCAGACCTGGAACCCCGGTCCCTGACTCGAAGCCCAGACAGCAGTTCATGGAACACCCTCAGAACACCTTTCCTTCACTCCCACCCAGAGACAACTATTTCTCCCTTGGAATCTGCCCACGACCCAAACCTGATCGTTACCTTTCACTCACTCGTTCAACAGAAGTGTTGAGCACCTACTATGGGGTAGACATGGGTCTAGATCCTGGGAAGAAAACCAGTGGGGGCCAAACACACAGGCCCCATTTAGACCCGTACTCACGCGAAGCTGTACAGGATTTTGGCCCCGTTGCACACTGTGGGATGGGGTGGGGGAACACAGGGCTTAGCAGAAGTCAAAGGAACTTGCCCATGACCTAAGGAAAGAGCGCACGGCTTCAGGGCGGATGGTTAGGAATCACCGGGCTACTTCAACTGGGGAACCTTGGGCTCTACCCTCACTGCCCAGAGCATTTCTGGGAAGGAGGTCACATAATAGAGCTGTCTCGAGGCCCCCATATTCTCAGGTCATGGCAATTTCATACAGCATTCCTTTTGGGACATAATGTGCTTTTGTGTCCTTGGAGGAGAGGTCCCCCTCCCCACCCCTCGCTCCCGAGAGGCCAGGGAGACCCAGCCTGGAGCCCAGGGACTAGTTTGAGATGCAGACCCTACCTGAGGTCCACTCACCTCTCTCCCTCCTTATTGCAGTTCGTGGTGGGCCGCGATGGCACATGCGGCGTGGTGTGCGAGCACTCCCCATTTGATGGAATCGTCCTGGTGCAGTGCACGGAGCACCTGCTCAAGCACATGTGAGTCTGGGCGCACCCTCTCCCCATCCCCTCACCCCGCTACCCCCGCCGCAGCCACGGGAGCCAACACCAGACTGCCAAGGCGTGGCCAGGCTCAGCCAAGAAAAATTTGGGTGGCCACCGGGAGGCTGCATTAGTCTGGAAAGTGTCTTAGCAAAGGATGGATTCGGAAACCAGCTTGAGCTCAGACACTTTATCTGCCACGGACAGTGGGGGCAGGCTGGGCATCAGGAGAAGCTTGGCCAAGAATTCTTAGCCAAAAAGAAACATCTACTTTGGCCCAGGGAACCCAGACTGATATCTAGTGCTTGTTCCGAGTCAGGCCTGTGCCGACTGTTGACCCAACAGAGGGGACGGGGGTCTCTGAGCTGCACCTCCTTCCACCCCCGGGAGCTGGACCTCTCTCCCTAGCTTCCTGGCTGGCCGGACTGAGTGCTTGCCTATCCCTTAAACACACCGAGTTCCTTCCTCCATTCACGGTTTGCTCCTTCTCTCCCTCCAGAATCTTTACCCTGAATCTAAGTTCTAAATCTCTTCCATGATTTGGGAGCTCTTTAGAATCCCTAAAAGCCCAAAGCAACTCTCACAGACAAACAACACAGTTTGCTTCTTCAGTTTCTCTCCAAGTGTTTCCCAAGTGTTAGTGGAGTGGAAGAACGTGAAAAGAAACAGGCTCTGGAGTCGGGCAGAACTGGCGGGAATCCCGGCTCTGCCACGTGCTTGTTTGGGTGGCTTAGGGGACTGAGCATCAGTCTGTTCATCTGTGCAGTGGGCCCAGGGCAACTCACACCCCCCTGAGGCTTCAGCAGCTAGGATGCCCGCAGAGGGCAAGGCCAGCTGCCCGCAGCCCTCAGCTCCCAGGGCCGCAGACCATCACCTGTCTGTGCCTACAGGGTGAAGAGCAGCAAGAAGCTGGTCCGAGCAGACTCTGTCAGCGAGCTCCCGGCCCCCAGGAGGCTGCGTTGGAAGTGCTCCCCGGAAATCCAAGGCCTCTTAGCCTCGTCAGCGGAAAAACTTCAACGGTAGAAAGCCCAAGCCTCTTTTAGGGCGATGCTCTGGTGTCACCCCGTGTCCACTCTCACCCCAACCCCCTCTACCCAGGACGATGAGGCCCCCTGGAAGTTTCCAAAGACCCCAGCTCTTCTGCCTCCCCCTGCCCGCCTCCGCCCCCGGCCCACCCCTTCACAGAAATGTAGTCAAACTAAAGGGGAGTTATAACTCTCGGGGAAATAACCTTGCTCAAGTCTCCATCATTTCCATAAAATGCAAACATGGAGCTATTTTTTCACAGGTTTCACCTGACTGAGCTGCGTCAAGGCGGGGAAATTATTCCCCTGCTTTGGGGTGGGGGGAGTAATAAACAACTGGTTTGAATAGATCATTTGAATCCAAGCTATTTCAATTTGCTTGAATTTACACTACAATGTGACAAGGGGACCTTTCTCCCCAAGGGGAGAGAGAAAGTTCAGTCCCTAACGGGACACATGCAGGAGTGTGTGGGGGTGGGCCTCTGTGGGCGCCCCCCCCCCGCCCCCGTACTGGCACAGTGCCAAGTTGTGGAGGGAGCTGCAGGCTGGCAACTAGATCTGCCCCTTGGTTTTTCATTCCCTCATTCAGTAAGTGAGCATTATTCATTCATTCATTCATCAAATATATGAATGGGCCAGTACGTGGAAAGGCTGAGGACACATAAATGAATATGCCATGGAGCCTGCTGTCCACACTCAGTGGAGGAAGAAGACCCCCAGACCAAAACACGTGTGACGCAAGTGCCCAAACCGGAGAAAGGCATACAAGCCTGAACCCACAGAGGACACAGCAGTGGAATTCTACCAGGAGATTGTGGAAGGGCTTTGCAACAATGGGTCTTGAAGGATGGATAGGAGTTCGTGGTGCAGGCAGCTAGAGAAGAGGCAGAAAGGCAGCTTGTTTGAGCTTGTACATAGAAGATTTATAGAAGATGCAGGCTGGTTTGGAAACCAGCAAGTGAGAGAAAGGCCAGAACTGAGGCACTCAAGGGAAGTTGAGGTCACATTTTGAAGAGCTTTGCTGTTCTTGTGTTATGGGGCCTGGATGCTGTTGTGCGGTGGGGAGGAGCCCTTGGAGGGTTTGGAGCAGGGGTTTCAGGGAGCCAGTGAGGAAGATGCAGTGAGCAGGACAGATCATGGCCAAGCTTGGAGGGGAGGGTGGACGAGTCCACCACAAGCTGCTCTGAGGGCTGACTGGCTGACGCGGGAGAGTAGAAGAGGCCTCGGGTGTTCATCCACGAAAGATGCTAATAGCTCAACTGTAGGGGCTGTTCTTAGGATAAGCAGGCCTCTAGGAGAGTCAGTGAGTTGGTGGGCTGGCATCCTTGGGTGGAGAAAGGTGCCCACTCACTTTCAGAGATCTGAGTGGTGCCTCCAAATTCTCTTTCCAGAGGTGGGGAACCAGGAGAGGTCTGAGTGTGGGAAAGCAGGAGGAGCCTCGAGGGTTCCGAGCTGCCTACAGAAGGGAGCAGGGTCTTAGTGGGCAGGGCCCGAGCAACAGGCTTCCAGGTGACTGTGTGACCATGTGCTCAGCCCGTCCAGAGACAGCTGGCTAACTGGCTGGACCCTGGTCCCCAGAACCTGGCACGGCCCCACCGCGAGGCCAGCAGGCAGAGAGCATCTGAGGCCTGCAGCAGTGTGACTGGAGGGTGGAGGTTGCCTCCCCAGGGCTCTGCATTCACATACAGCCTGTGGACAGACCGTGTGGACCCTGCCAGACATTGCTGCAGTGGACAATCAGTCCAGACCCCAAGCTCATTGTGAAGGAGGACACTGGTCCATACTGGTGAGGGGATGAATGCTCAAAGGTCTCAGTGTAGAGTCAGGGAATCTACCCGTTACTCTGACCGTGGCTCATGGGCAGTAAGGAGCCGGGTGTGTCACAGGAGGCTCAGCAGTCATTTCTGGGTAAGATGGGTTTACAGTCGAGCAGCCCTCGCTGTGGTGACCGGGACCCCCAGGGAGGCCCCAGGCATTTCTTCTCATAGCACAACAGGGAGGAGTCTCTGTGAGGAGACATGGCTTCCAGCCATCAGAGAAACAGGCCTTTCCTTGGGCAAAGGCGGTGTGCCAGGTCTGGGAGAATAGCCAGGGTGCCAGAAGAATCTGAGGTTGTGGGACCCACATTCCCAAACAGGTCAGATGAATGGCTTCTTTCAGGCCCACTTCTGCAGGCAATGGGCTCCAGGGTTTTGTTTGTGGGCAGTGTTGTCCCTGCGCATGCAAATGTCTCTTGCCCCCACGCCCCATGCCCTTCCCTGCAGCCAGGTCCCCTCCCCCACCACCAGAACAGGGCCACTGCCCTACCCAGCCAAGCCTCCCCTTCAGCTCAGGGAACCCTGGTCTGACATGCCCTCCGCCACTTCCTCATGTCAAGGCCTGTCTCTGACACCTGATGCGTTCCCAGTGGGCAAGGACCATGTCTTTCACCTCCAGAGTCCTGGGTCGTAGACCAAGCTTGAGCCACTCAGTTAGACTTCGTAGTCTGTGCATTCTGTTTTGCATGCAATAGGGCCTCTTCTTTTTCTCCCACAGCATAGTAAAGAATCTCGACTTCATTGTGTATAAGTTTGACGTCTTTGGGAAAACATTCATTAAGAAGCAGAAATGCAGTCCTGATGCTTTCATCCAGGTGGCCCTCCAGCTGGCCTTCTACAGGTAAGCAAAGCCTGACAGCGGAACAACTTGGCCTGGGTGGGCTGCCCGACAAGCTGCTCTAGACTCCGGAGTCTAGAAGCATCCTGGAGGGAGGAATGACTTTCTGTGGGCTGAGAAGCTGGGAGGAGCAGGGCAGGCTGCAGGGAAAGAGGAGCCGGGATTCAGAGTCTGAATCCAATCTCAGAAATGAGAAGGAAGGACAAGAATGTGAACTCATCCTTGGTTCGTCCCTGTCTCTCCTCTCCCACCCGGGACACCCCCATGTCCGTCCTCCAGAGGTCTCTGAGACCTACCCTCTGTCTTCCATCTCCATGGTCGCCAGCGCCTCCCCGGTCATCTCGTGCTTGCACAGCGGCAGCAAGCTCCCCAGGGGGCTCTGCTTCCCACTCCCATCTTCACAAATCGTCAACTTTGAAATATGCATATCAGCTTCCATCACTTACCACCTTGAACCCTCCCCATGGCTTCCCACCATGTTTAGAACAAAGTCCAGGCTTTGAAAGGCTTCTTGTGAACTCCCTCTCCTGGGCCCCTCCTCCCAAGTTCTCTCCCGCCTCTGGCCCTTTGCTCCCTGTGTGTCTCGCACCCCCAGCCTGCTGCCACCACCCCTCTTCACACGCCTGCTCCTCCCTCCACCCAGGTCTCTGCCCAGGTGTCCGCCCCAGAGGCCTTCCCTGACCCCCTTACCTAAAGTAGCCACCTCAGACCCCCACACCACCCAGCTCTCCAGCCTATCCTATTGTGTTCTCTTTCATGGCAGTCATTGTTCGTGTGGGCTGCCTTGTTCATTGATTTGTCAGTTTTGTTTTCTAGACTGTCTCTCCCAAGCCTGACACTCTGCGTGTCTCACACACCTGGCCCAGAGTAGGCCTCAAGGGATGAGTCACAGACGTGAGAAGACACTACGGGAGTATTAACTGGGGGTGGCACAGTCAGGTCGGGTTTAGAGAAATCTCTGTCGTGGTAGCTCTGTGTTGGGGAAGGAGAGAAAGTAGAGAGCAAGGGGTGAAAACAGGGCAGGGAGGCCAATGGGTCTTTTATAGGAGGCTAAACTAAAATGCAAAGTAGACCAACCTCAAGACAAGGCTGGCTCCTATTGGTTCCAGTGTTTCCAAAGCAACTTGCACAGGACCCCACCAGTACCTGCTTTTACTTTGCAATATACAGGGGGAGCGGGGGACATAAAGTGACCTTGCAATAAGGCCAGGGGAAGGAGGTCTCACTAACGAGCAGACAGCTCCCCTGTGGACACAGCATCCCAGATCCTAGTGTCCTCCCGAGGGGCCATAACTCACAGGGAGAGGAAATGGCTTCGGCCCCTCTGGGCACTGGGACTCCGTGGGGAAGGCTGACGTCACCCCACGTGAGGTCTGTGCTCATCGTGGGGACACAGAGACCTCACCGACACTGAGCCGTGGTAGGACCTGGTGTCTGGAACCACTGTCGCCATTCTGACACTGGCACGTGGCTGAGATGGGCCATGGGACAGGGAGCATTTCAGTTCGAGGGCTAGGAGGGGCTGGCCGGCCCTGCGCACAGCCTCCTCTATCCTCAACTGATCCTTGTGGCACTGGATGTGGCCAGCAGTGGACATGGCCGGAGGCTGCTGGGCTCTGTGAACAGCCAAAATAGGATCTGCTTCCCATGGAGAACATTCTTCAGAGTCTAAGCCATAACCAAGAAAATGTTTTTACTCTGCCCCTGTATTCAGCAAGCCTGGAAGATGCCTAGATGGGGGTTGATCAGTGACTAGCCAGTGATGGCATCTACTTTTGTGCTGGGCATGGTGTCTGCTGCCAGGGACCGTAGAGATACTGGAAATGAGCTCACTGCCAGAGTCCTTCCTACCTGGGGTAATGAGACAGAAGTGTCCAGAAAGTTTATTCACCTTCTCACCAAGTTACAACGCCAAGCACTGGGCTGAATCAGACTTGGCCTTCCTCTTAGTAGAGCTCCCTCAGCACAGGAGATACACGCTCTGACAAGGCCAGCACGCAGGCCCAAGACTTGTGTCCCCTTATCAAGGCCCCTCTGTGATTCTGTGTCTTCCTCCTCCCCACCTCCTCCGACACCAAAGACTTTGCTGACAGGTGAGAAAGACATGTGCCAGCCAGATGTGCAAGCCTCGGAGTGCTCACTTGGTTTGTGTTCCTAAGGAAAGGACCTTCGCTGGCTGGGGCCAGGAGAGGCACAGCCATGGTGCCCGTGGGTCTGTTGGAAACTCAGCTGCCCCCGGACAGGCAGGCCTGGGCTGCAGCCTCCTCCCTGCCTCGATCCATAGGTCATACTTGAATTGTTCTAAATAAAACAGGATTCCCTCAAGGATATGAATGATTAATCACATAGTTATTCCATTCTGTGCTATTAATCAAACACTCATCAGGTCTCGAAGAAAATTCTAGGTTTCCCACCAGATGGAGGTTTTTTGAAAAGTTACCCGTCGCTTCTCTATTTTATATCCACACAGTGTCACTGGTGGATGAAGGCGTACACAGCTCTTCCTATTAGCGACTCCCCAACACTCATCTTTGGGAAATCTCCCCGAGAATTCTATTAACATTAAAATGAAATACTGTGCCCAGTAGAGTCAGGGCTGTAAACATAAAGCCTGCAGATGCTATTTTTCTTCCAGCGTTTATGGTTTCCTGAGACGGCGACAGCGTTTGCCATTCATCTTCCATCTTCTGCAGGCTCCACAGAAGACTCGTGGCCACCTACGAGAGCGCGTCCATTCGCCGGTTCCAGGAGGGCCGTGTGGACAACATTCGCTCGGCCACTCCAGAGGCGCTGAGTTTTGTGAAGGCCGTCACTGACCACAAGGCTGCCATACCGGTAAGTCCCGCTCTGTCTGAGGAGTACCCCGGGAGCCTCCTGTCGGCTGGGGCTCGGGGACAGCCAGCTCCTTTCACTTGCTGGTCCCTGAGTAGCCCTTCGAGCCCCATCTCTGGTCTGTTGACAGGATTCAGAAAAGCTGCTGCTTCTGAAAGATGCCATCCGAGCCCAGACCGAGTACACAGTCATGGTGAGTGACACGGTGCCTCTTCTTGGGGGAACTCGTGACTGTGGGCTGTGCCCCAAAGCTGGGCCTGCAGGCACCGGGCCACAGCACAGGACCTGTGTGAGAGCCGGGCCACCAGCCACCCAGTGGCTTGGCTGATGCCATGCCTCTCAGAGACTCTTTCTTATTTTTAGTACCTGGGTAACACAGCACTCATTTTCACTTGGATTTTACAAGAATACCATGAATGATCTTTGAAAGAACAATAATGGTAATAATAGCACCAAATACGTGTAGTACTTTACAGTTTATACAACAAGAAAAGTCAAATGTGAGAGATGGCGGCCAAGCCTGGCACACTGTCGTGGCTTGGGCACCTTGTATGACTGCTGGTGGGACAGTACTCATTCCCACCTAGAGCTGGTTTTGCTTTCTTATTTTCTATTTATATCGCCTGCCTGCTTCCTCCTCTCTCTCTGCCTGCCTCTCTATTTATATCGCCTATGAATAAAAAGTCTTTGCTGAAAATTAATAGTGAAATCAAAATTTTATTTATTTTTACTTTTTTTTTTTTTTAAGAGAGAGAGCAGGGGAGGAGGGGCAGAGGGAGAGGGAGGGAGAGAATCTTAAGCAGGCTCCATGCTCAGCATAGAACCTGGCATAGGGCTCCATCTCATGACCCTAAGATAATGACCAAAGCTGAAATCTAGAATAAGATGCTTAACACACTTGGCCACCCAGGTACCCCAAATCAGAATTCTTTTTTTTTTTTTTGTTAAGATTTTATTTATTTATAAGAGAGAGAAAGAGGAATGAGAGAGAGAGAGCACGAGAGGGGAGAGGTCAGAGGGAGAAGCAGACTCCCCACTGAGCAGGGAGCCTGACGTGGGACTCGATCCTGGGACTCCAGGATCATGACCTGAGCTGAGGGCAGTTGCTTAACCAACTGAGCCACCCAGGTGCCCCTAAATCAAAATTCTAAAGGAAATGTTCTCTTAGTTTAGGGAAGTCGTTTATTTCCTAGCATGGCAGAGCCATCATTTGCATATAAATAACAGAGAATAAGCTACTACTTGGACGGGTGATCAATATATCAGTTGAAATTTATTCTGATACAGTCTTTGAAGGAGCATAGATCCTGTGAAAAGGGCTTGACCGAATTTCACTCTATATACTTGAAAGCAAGTACAATGCTTATCTGGGTTTTAGATTGAGCCAATGTAGACTTCTTTCCACTCAGTTACCAGGTCCTGAATTCATCTGAAGAGTTAAATGTTCATTCTGTTTGGGGAAAATCCAGCTCATGCTCACGTATTCAGTGGGTATTTTTGGTCTTCTTGCTTAATGCCAGACAAGGTGCTGGGTGGGAGGAAATAAAAGGTGAAGTCCACAACCCCTGTCCTTAGTGAGTTTACTGAGTAACTGAGAGGAAAATCCCTTAAATGATAAATCTCATCTCATGTAAAATGAGTCCTCAGGAAGTAGGAGAGAGCATGGAGGGGCAAGCTAGTTCCTCATCTTGGGAAAGCCAGGAAGACTTCCCAGAAGAAGTGGTGCTTGATATGAGACTTGAAGGATGAAGAGGTGCTTGTCAGGTGGACATAGAAGGGAAAAATGGTCCCAGAAGGGAAGAGTACATGCAAAGGTAAAGAATCTTGAGAGAATAAGACACATTGGAGGAAAGGCAAATAGTTCAGTGTATGTTTGCGAAGGACAGAGGCACAGGGGAGCTTATGAGGTGGGATTTTTCAGTCACAAAGTTTATTCCAGTGGCCAGGTAGAAGGAGGACTGGTTGGAGCATGGGTGGTCTACCAACATTCAGTGACACTAATTAGGAACCTATATAATATTTAGGTAGAGCTGACATAGAGCAGGGGCAGCGGATTGAAGAGGTAGACACCAACTTCTGCTTAGCCATGGTGGACACAAGGGTTTACTGTCACTCCCTCTGAAATCCTCAGAAATATCAGCAAAAGCAGTTTTTTTCTTTTTTAAGCCATGAATACACTAGGCAAAGAGAGTGGGGAAAAAAAGAACAGCAAAGTTTTCAAGTTGGAAAATAGAACAGATAGCCAGTGACTTAGCAAACCAGGGGAAGCTAAAACCCAGGCGAACAGTAAGGGAGACCCAGGAACCCAAAGAATTGTAATCACAGAATGGCTCAGGCATTGAGGCACCCACCAGAAGTACAGGTGTGTGTAGGGCTGAAAAGAAGAGGGTTGGCTGATTATCTCTATAAGAAAGAATCAGACCCCCAGTTCCTTTCCACCATCCCATGCAGCTAGGTGACTACCCTCCCCTTTCTCAATGGTAAGCTAGAAGCTTAGCCTCTGGAGAAGCTGAAGACAGAAGACTCTAGATCTGGGGACACCAGGTAGAGCTCAGGGAGGGTTAATCAGATTAAACATGGTGATTGATCAAAGTCTACCTACTCAGCTCCAGGTACATTGGGAAGTACTTTTATTACCAAGTCTCTCCAAGCATGAGATTCTAGAATTTCTCTGTGGTGAGACTGACCAGGCCAAGAGAAGAAACTCACAGACACTGACGGCTGGGGTGCCCAGAGAAATAGCCCAGCTAGCTCACCTCCCAGTGAAGGCTACCAGAGGGCAAGCACAGGCTTACCCTTGTATCTTCTTATCATTCTTTCAGTGCTTTATTCTGAAATATAAGCAAGTAGCCATTAATCATCAGACATTGAGGAAAGCCACTAACATAAGACACAAAAGCCAGTAGAAATGTTTTTGTGTAATTTTTAAATTTTTGGTTAATTTTTAAAAATAATTTAAGAGAAACTTCAAAGAAATGAAAACAATGCAGAAGCAGGAGAACATGTTTTAAAACTGTAATTGAGGTCCTCTGAAAGATAATGAATTTATTGCATCCATTAATAAGAACACAAAACTGAAAAAAAATCTTTTGGGGGCAATAAAAATAATTCTGGGGGAAATATGGTAGAAAAAATGCAATGGAAGGATTGGGAGATAAAGCTGAAATAATCTTCCCCAAATATCAACAAAACAAGAAATGAAATATGGGACAGAAAAGAGGCTCATTACATGAGAAACAGTATCCCAAGTAATACATGTCCAGAAAGAGAAAATGGGGGTAAAGGGGAAGAGCAACAAAATAATTCAGGAAAACTTCTCAGAATTGAAGGACGTGAACTTCCATATTGAGAGAGCCCACCACGTACCTTGCATGAGAGATGAAAAGATTCATACCAAGGAAATTTCACAACACAAAGATCAAAGAGAAGATCCTAAAATCTCTCAGAGGGAGAGAGGAAAAAAAAATACGAAGATCAGGAATAAAAGTGTAATTGAACTTCTCAACAATATCACTAGAAGGTGGAAGATAATGGAGCAATGCCTTCAAATTCTGAGGGGAAATTATTTTTAATGTATATTTCATACCCAGCTAAACTATGATCAACTTTGTAGACAAAAGAAAGACATTTTCAGACAGACAAGTTCTCAAAAGCTTTACTTTTTAAGCTTTCTTTCTTGTCAAACTACTGGAGGATTTAGACTACTAAAGTAAGAGATAAAACATAAAAGACATCATAGGCTCCAACAATCAGAAGATTCAGCACAAGAAAGTGAGAAAGATGGTGACAGTAAAGGGAGGTCCCAAGTCAACTGCTGTTTAGCAGACACAGAACAAATTAGCCCATAGAGAAGCAAGAAGAGGGGGCGCCTGGGTGGTTCAGTCAGTTAAGCATCTGCCTTCGTTCTGAGATCGAGTCCCACCTCGGGCTCCCTTGCCAGTCACTCCCCCAGCTTGTGCTCTCGCTCGCTCTCTCTCTGTCAAATAAATAAATAAAATCATTTTTAAAAAATAAAGAAGCAAGAAGTGAGAGATAGAATGAGATTGATAAATTATCTGATTTAGTTGACTGTACTAAGAAAAGTTTTACACTTCTGACTGAGAGTTTAGGAATCAATTAGTTATAGATCTGTAGAAAGCTAAGCAAATGGAGAAAATCGTAATTCAATCATTTAAAAATTGTCCATTCCAAGGAAAACAAAAGATGAATAAGAAAGGAAATCTGATCATAATATAGCCTGAGACTCAGATGGGAATACTTGTATAATTTAAATCATGTCAGCACTGACTCCTGATCAAACAGTGCGGAGTTAAACGTAGCTCTACTGAGAGGATGGGAGAATGGAAGACTGTCTGGAGAGCAGGAGTATGAAAGAGCCAAAGGTTCGTCTTCTATCGCACAAAGACATAAAGCTGAAAAAGGTAGTGAATGCATTCTAAGACTGTTATTTAGAACTAAGACAATTAAGTAGCCAAATTGGTTGCCTCTGTGGAGTGGGAATCAGACCTGGCAAAGAGACAGACACCTTCAGCTTCTCCGGAGTTTTAAGCTATATAAATACATAGCTTTGGTAATAATTTATTTATGGAAGATTTAGAAAAATATCCTCTAAAGCATGGCTCTAGGGTTCAGCTCTGTTAACTATTTTATGTTGATGGGAACAGCTAAATAAAAGAGAGGGGGTTGGGAAGGGGAGAACTGTGAAAATCTGTTGTGGTGAATCTGGAGCCTGGCTGGCTGTGTGGGTGTGGGGTCAGGGTCAGGGGGAAGAAGCAAGGAGAGCTACAGCCTTGTGGCAGCTGTATTGGGCCACGGTAGCAGAGAAAGGACATCCCAGTGAAGGAGTCGTCGTGGTCCAGACCCTCCCACACAGACTCTCACAGCACCTTAGGCTCTCCCTTCACAGCATGCACGTTCCCAGTGCCCAGCAGCCTTGGGCACATAGTGGGAGCTCAAGTAAGTTTCCCCGAATGAATGAAAGACTGAACGATGAATCGTGTTACTCATGACGACTCGTGTCCTTAATCCAAACACTCCGTTCAGTCAGCCTTGGTTGCCGCCCTGAGCTGGAGGGGGTGAGGACCCGAGGCTGGCTGCCGCACAGAGCAGCGGCTTCCACAGGTCTACACGAGTCTGCGATTTGACAGAGGAACCAGCAGTACACTCACTGCATAGACGGGCTCAGAGTCCTTCCCCTCTGTCCTAGCAGGGCACGTCCAAAGTGAGCTGCCGTTATATAACATCTTTCCAGCCTATAATTAGGTGCATCCGAAGAGACTGGGGCCTCTGACTCATCTTTATTCATTCATTCTTCACTGAAAAAGAACAGCTGTCAAATCCCAAAACGTGCCTTGTAAACTTGAACGAAGTTCATTGTGATGGATGTTTCCTCCTATCTGGGGCTTTAACAGCTAAGCAGTCGTCTTACCTAAGTGTGAACCTCCCAAGATTTACACTTACCCCAATGTGAATGCACTCCTATAGGCCAGAGACAGCCCCCAAGTCTCCACCACTCCTAAAATTAACCCCAAATGAACATGTAATCCAAGTAAAACCAGTGTGCGTGCTACACACGCAGCCTCAAGTGGGGAGGAGATGAAATGGGTACGCAGGCCCCACCGCCCACTTCCAGCCAGACCACCTCTGAGCTCTGCCTACATAGACATCCTAGAGTCCACACTGCTCTGATTTTAACCTTTGATAAGAGTTCAAGTATCTTGTAATAAAAAGGAAAAAAAATCTTTCTTCATTCAACAAGCTTTCCCCTTGTAAACATCAGCTGAGCCTCTAAGATGTCTAGTTCCTGTCTCAGAATGATTTCTTAGGCTGTAAATCCAGTTTATTTGAACCGATCCTGAGCCCATGAAATAGCAACCAAGATTTAAGAACAGGACTTAATGTCCTCTATCCCTCATTCCTTGGACTCTGGCTGGAGGATAAAGTGTTTGTTGCGGTGAGTGTCTGCCCAGTGATAGCCTGGGGCACCGCTCTCCATGCCCCAACAGGACCCAGCACCCATCCCTGCCCCCCAGTCTCCTCCCCTACTCAAGAAGGTACTAGAGATGCCCAGCCCACCCCTTCCAATTAGAGGGGTCATATGCAGTGTGTCGGCAATGACCATGCTGGGGTTGAGAGGGAGGCGATACTCAGACTCACAGACCTTTAACTCAGGCATGCTCACTTTAGAACCCAGCCTGCTCCGGACTCTCCCTGTGCATGTAGGAAGGATCCGAGGCACACCAGCTGAGTGGTAGAGTGGTCAGCCCTGGGCAGCTACCCACACACATTGTCCACAGCAAGTGCCAGGTCAGCATAAGCCAGGACCCTTGCAATGGCCATCAGCATTGTGGAGTAGAGAAGGGGGAGGGTGTGGGAGCCCCTGTCTCATTTCCCATTCTTTGCCCCCAACTACCCAGGCCATAACAGGGATGGCCATCGACAACCACTTGCTGGCGCTGCGTGAGCTAGCCCGGGACACGTGCAAGGAGCTGCCTGAGATGTTCACAGATGAAACGTACCTGACCAGCAACCGGTTTGTCCTCTCAACCAGCCAGGTACGGTGTGGCTGTCACCCAGGGGGCCACTTAGTGTAACCAGTGGGCTTTCTAAAAGGCCAGTTAGCATAAACCTGTGACTCCAGCCCACTGGCTAGAGTCAGACAAGTCCCAGAGGAGCTTCTCACAGGCTGCATGCCCTTTGGCAAAATGACCTAAATGCTCAGAGTACCGGTTTCCCCACTAAGTGGTTGTAATCATGGATGCCACCCTAGCAGAGGTGTCCTGAATGGGAACTGGTGCTCTAGCCCTGTGCTTACCAGCATTCAATCTGTTACTCGTGGGGTGGTGTTCCACCGTGACGGCCACAGGCTCCGAAGCCCAACAGGTCTAGAGCGAAGTCCTGGTTCAGCTAGAAGCAACAGTTTGGGTAGAAAGCCTAGCCCAGTGGCTGGCATGGAACAGGCCCTCCAAACAGGTCATGGTCATTATTGTAAAGGGCTATGAGACCAACTGCAGACTATCAGCGGCCAGCCCAGCGTCTCCCAAGCCTGTTCTGTTGGAGGACCACTGTGACAAAGACAGAATACAGTCTACTGGAGAAGGACAGCAGTTTAGGAAAGAAAAGGACCCCCAAACGTCAGTTGACTAAGACTCCACCTCATCTGCTAAAGGCTGGACATGGGCAATGAGAGGGGCTGATCAAGTTGTGTTTGAGGATAAAAGCCCACTCATAATTTGTAATTTGATTCTGTCATGACAGAATCACTCGTAATTTGATTCTGTCATGACAGCGGTGAGCTCTCAGACACGAATCAGCGAGGGCAGGCCACAACAACATAAATTCTTCAGGAAACCATCCATGGGCAAAAAAGTGCTTTGGAACGGTTTTACGGCCTTCAGCTGTTGCACGGCAAATTTATCTGACAATGAGGTGACTCTATTAGCAAGACTAATGGTTTGTTCTGCCCCATTAAAACGACCGGTGTGATTTCTGAAGGCCTGACTACACAGCGCCTAAAACCTTGGGTTTAAAAACAAACCCCAGCCTGCAACTCCCCGAGAATGTGTTCTAGTTTTCCCCTTACAACCAGCTAAGACAATGAATTTGGGGGCGGGAGGGGTGGTTTGGTGTTTTTTTCTTTCTCCCAACTGGCAATGAACATGTATGGCGGGAATGCCTTCGGAGACACATTTTCCTGATTTGTGATCCTAATTACAAAATCTCAGCGCTCTGAATTCAAAATGTGTTAGGTGCCTAACTAAAACGCCAGTTGATGGCAGTCTCTGATATGCCCAGCGCTGGGTAATTGCGCATGGCCGGGGGCTATGGGGAGAAAAGCAGACCAGCCAGGCAATACTGACAGTAATTAAGGATGTGGGGAAAATCAACAGAGAAGACAGGCCAGATTTCCTTCTGTTCATAAATTACTCCCTCTGGGAAGCCATCTAACTATGGGGTGCCACCAGGGTGCCATTGAGGAAATTACCCTGATTGCCTTGGTGCCTCATACAGCCCCCAAGGTGAAGGGGAGACTCAGCCTGAGACCCAGCACAGGTCACTCTGGGAGATTTTGACTTCATAAGTTGAGCAGATTTCCCACCAGGGAGAGCCTTATGGACCCTCTTCTTTCCATATCGTGCAGTTAGATGGGTTTGTTTTTATGACTCTGGCTGTAGCCATCCATGCTGAAGCTATTGAATCATTTGGTTAATTCAGTCAAGCACCCAGGTGGAAAATGGAGAAGTAAATATCCCGTTGAGGCCTCAGGGTTGCTGAAACACCCTGTATTCTAGCAAGGTCGCAGGTTACTTTTCAGACCAGTGGCTTCTGACCTGTCCTCTCCTCCAGGTGCCCACAACCATGGAGATGTTTTGCTGCTATGGTCCTGTGGTGCCGGACGGCTACGGGGCCTGCTACAACCCTCAGCCAGAGAATATCCTTTTCTGCATCTCCAGCTTTCATGGCTGTAAGGAGACCTCTTCCTCCGAGTTTGCGAAAGCAGTGGAAGAAAGCCTCCTTGAAATGAGGGACCTGTGCAGTCCGCCACAGTCTACAGGGGGCAAGCCACTGGCGCCTCAAGAAAAAGCAACAAGGCCCATCCAGGGGCACCAACCTTGACTCCTGCCGCTAGGTTTCACCTCCCCAAACCTCCTGCCGCTAGGTTTCACCTCCCCAAACCTCCTGCCGCTAGGTTTCACCTCCCCAAACCCAGCATTCTGCTGCCGCTAGACCCTGCCAAACCCCGGCTCCCAACCCTCTCCCCTAGCTTTCGGTAGCTCCCCTGTCCTCAGGGCCCAACAGAGACCACACGGAGGCATCACGCAAACAAGAGTATGAAGAGGAAAGTGTCCCTCCTTAGGCATGGGGATTGTCCTTATTTGCCAAACTGCCCTCTGGCCTGTGTACTGGGAAGTAAGACCGGCCTGGCTCTGAGGCGGCCTTGGTGAGGTGTGCAAGTCTACACCACCTTCCCTCCATGGCCGTAGAAGCTTAATGGTGGTGTTTACTTCTCCAACGGGACCTAGTGTGTTCAGGGGAAGTTTTGCCCAACAAGAGAATGTGTCACCCTATTACATGCAGCGTACCTACAAGTGTCATGAAGAAGGAGGCTAACTCCAGGTCAATACCTCTTTTCTTCTGGGAGAAGTAGGGGACATTGTTTTCAGATTTGAAGCAGTGTGATCATGACCTCCTCCAGGGTGGCTTGCACTGAGCCATACAGGGTTGCAAACACCCCATCCCTACACACACACACACACACACACACTCATCCAGTTAATTTAAAATACAGTGACCCAGGCCCCAAAACACATTTTTCTCCTTTCATCTCCCGGGGGCAGCCTTCCGTTGAGTTTGGGAAAATCTGAGAGGGGGAAAAGGAATCATCCGCCATTGTACTGACGTCATGCCTGCTCGGCCCCCGGGGCATCAGCGACAGTCCAGGATGAGGAAACAACCCAGTGCCCCCTAAGCAGCAGGGTTGGTGGGAGGACCAGTCCATTTTCCCAAGAATCCTGCCTCTCGCATTTTTTCTGGTGGCTTCCCCACTGCCCTTTCTATAAGGAATCATACCCGTTATAGGTGATCTGCCTTCTAGAGGAGAAGAGAGAGGGTTGCTTTGGGGATTTTTCTGTCGTTGTTATTTGTTTGTTTTATTCATTCTTAAGAGAGGCTTTTAAGAAAACCACTGTGACATTAATATCAGAAAATGATCTCAGTGGCCCAAGCAGGTAGAGGATGTTATCTAGGGCTTGTAACGAAACCCCATGTGGAGGAGCATAGAGCAGGGCTTTGCCTGGCCTGGCAGGGGGTGGGGGGAGCAAGTTTGAGCAGACAGCTGGTGGGGACCAGGGCCAAGAGGAGGGAAGGGCTATGTCCAGAGTCAGCCCTGATGAAGGGGCAGACCGTGCACATAGCCAAAGTTAAGTTTGTCCTGAGAGGCTGTGATCATCAAGGAGATAGGAGAGGCACTTCCCACTGGGGAATATTTTTATGGTAAATCTAAAAAGGCAAGGGAGTGGGAAAGCAACCAGAAAATCAAAACTGCGGATAGATGAGGCAGTCTCTGTTCAGAGGAGGAACAGAGCTCAGTGTTAGAGAGATCTGCGGTGCAACCCTGAAGGGGAGTCCTGGCAAAGCCCCCTCACTACACTCCCACTGTGCTCTGGCCTGGGGACCCTGTGCAGGTCCCTCTGGTCTACTGGGCAAGTTTCTGCACTTTGACCTCTACGGAAGGCAGGGCTGAGATGGGTTCCGCTGGCATTATGACCTTTGCTCAGCTCTCTGAAAACACAAACAGGACCAAGCAGTAAATGCTTTGAGCCCTGGTTTTAGACAGAGGACTTCTGTTGGATGATCTGGGAAATTCTGCGTGGCCCTTCAGAGTCACCAGTCTGTAGGTCCATATTGCTTCCACAGACATCCACCTTCCTGCTCCCCTAGGAAAGTTGCAGCTCAAGTGTCCTGGGACTATCTGGGGAACTGCTGTCTCCCTGCTGTAATTTGACCCAAAGCCACTTGTCTGTTCTCACCAAATGACCACTGTACAGATCTGAGTTCTCTGCTGGTTTCCTTCCATGGATTTCTGGGCAGGCAGAGAGCTCTGATTTGGGGGTCAGGCAACCCCACTGACCTTAACCAAGAGACTTAAATGCCCAGAGACTCAATTCTTTCTATCATCAAATGGGGACAAGAATGTCCCGACCTTGCAAGGCTGTGAGGATTGTAGAGCATGTGTGTAAAGGGTCTTGCACAAGCCGGTGGACACTGGTGTCCATTGTCATGATGATGTTACCCCAGCGGGCAATGTACAGATGAATTTGCTTCAAACTTTTCACACTGATTTTAAAGAACCAAACTCACATCTATCATTCTCTGCACGTAGGGAAAGGAAACTGACTCTGCACATTCAGATACCAACCATGCACTGTGAGGGCTTCAAGAAGTGCGGGATTGTGGACATTTGGCAGGAGGGAACACCTCCTCTTTCTGAGGAAGAATCTGGAAGCTGGTCTTCCCCCTCCAAGAACAAGTGGAGGCACTGAGACTTTATGCAAAGGCAATGCTGAGCCATGGCCATGGGCATCTCTGGGGGACCCTGGTAATGGAGACTGTCCCAAGTGTCCCCAAAGAGATGGAAAATGAAACATGGAGACAGTCACTGTGGGAAAGTGATGCGTAATAAACATGCTTGTGGCCACCTTACGATACCGCTAAGTTGCCAAGATATATAAAGTTGACATTTGAGTTCTATTTTTATAAAATTGTTCTAGATTTATGGCAATATATACATGTGTATTATAGCCTTTCAATTTTAAGTTATAGTTTTGTGCTTTGAAGAAATATGTATGACTAAAGAACTGTATATTGAAAGCACTATATTCAAAATATTTAAAGACCATAAGTCCGTATTCAATAAAAAGTAATACCAAGAAAGACGGTATTAGCCATTCTTTCTAAACAGAAATGGTATTCAAAGTTTGTTATAAGTTCTGTGAACTGGGTCAATGATCTGTTTGGCGTTGTCTGAGGTCAGCAGCAGTGGTGGACGTCTGAAAGATATAGGGTCCAGGAGAGAAAGGGAGGCAGGAACTTCGTCTCTCCTAGTGTGTGGCATGGGGAAAGGGTGAAGGGCAGAGAGGCTTCATGGGCTTTTTGTGATCGTGTTGGCAGAAATCTGGGTGTAGAGATGGGTGTCTGTACATAAGCCTGCACAAACATAGACAGAACGGAGTGGAGGGAAAAGCACCAGGCTCAGAGATGGGATGACTGGATGATAAATCCGATTCTATCTCCAACTTTGGGGATTGATATGTTTAACATTAGAAAGGAATAAAAATACAGGGAAGGTACATGTAGAAGTTCACGAAGAAGAGATTAGAGAGAATGAGGGAAAGCACTATTCCAAGAGGAAATCATTAGGAATATTCCAGAATCAAAGAAATATGTTATTCTAAAATTATTGGGTCAAAGAAGAAATAATAATGGAAATTTAGAAATACTTTGATCAGAATGATAATAAAGATAACTTATATCAAAACCTCTGGAATACAGCAAAACTGATGCCTTGAGGAGAATTTTAACCTTAAAATACTTACATCAGAAAAGAAGCAAGACTGAAAATCGATGAGCTAAGTGTAATGTACAAAGTAAGAAAAAGAGTCAGGCCCTAAACTTAAGGAAAGTAGAAGGAACAGTAAAGTCAAAAAGTAACAAAGATAGGACAACTATCAATGAAGGAGAAAACAAAGTTAAAGAGAAGTTAAACAAAAGAAAAGTGGGTTCTTTGACCATGCATTCGACGGAGGGTGGGGAGCCAAGCCACAGTCAGAGCCTTGTGTAGCACCCGTTAGCCTGACCATTGCCTCTGCAGGATTTGCAGACCATTATGGCTGGCAAGCCATGAAACATATGAAGCCTCAATTAAAACAAGTTTTTCAAAATCTACTAAAATCTGCCTCCAGTGGTGGCATTATAGAGATGTGTTTGAACCCAAAATGATAAAACGAGAATGACATAATACGAGGTGTAGATGCAAACCTACTGCCAATAAAGGAAAAATAGGAGATATTCACCGATGAGCTATGCTTTTAAATCACCCAGATAAGGGAAGATCTCCTTATAAAGCAGCCCAAATCCATGAAGCTAAAGATTTACAAGAAGGTCAAGCTAAAAAATGAAGAAAGTGTGTGATGAATTTTAAGCTCTTGTTAGTTTAGGTGTATGAGTGCCAGCTTTTAATGATAAATGCCTCAAAGCTACAAATTTAAAAATGATTTAGCACAGGCTTTCAAGCAAAGCCTTGGTATAAGTTTCTTCTTTAAATATGAGTATTTTAAATCAGCTTATAGAATAGTTGGAGTTTTAACACTCAGAAATTATGGGTAAATACATACGGTTTGCATAGAAATAGTGTTCATTATTCATTTAGCAAATACTTTGTTACCTATGTCAAGGCAAAATGAATGCAACAATCATTGGCTTTCAAGGAGCCCCCAATCTAATGGGATATTGATAAACTCATAATTAAAATACAATGTGATAAATATCTTTTTAAAGTTGTTTCTTTAAAAAGAATAACAAAATAGACAAATCTCTGGTAAAACCAATAAAAAGAGAAATTCAGAAATAATATAATGAATAAAAGGTAGATACAACTGCAGTAGACATTATAATGATAACCAGAAAATATATCAACTACTTAATGCCAGTAAATTTGAGAATTAGATAAAAATCCTTAAGAAAATATAACTTACTAAAACTAATGAGAGAATAAATAAAATTTCTGGACAACCTTATAAATCTTAAATGAACTGAAGCCATAGTTTAAAATCTTCCCACTTAAAAAAATCAAAATGAAACAGTAGCAAACAAACTCTAACAGTATATAAAAAAGATAATATACCCATGACCAAGTCAGGTTTATCCAAGTATGGAAGGTAGTTTAATATTAGATAATGAGCACTGGTGATGTATGGAAGTGTTGAATCACTATATTGTACACCTGAAACTAATATGACCCTGTATGTTAATCAACTGAAATTAAAAACTTTAAAACAAGAAAATAGCTAAATGTCATTTACTCATGAACAGCTTAAAGAATAAAAATATAGACCCAC